ACTGAAGTAGCAAATGATTTGCTTCATTAGTTCTCAACAGGACAGTATTTTTACTCACTGTGGCTCGAAACTAGTTATAAACCACAATATGAGTAAAACCGGTGCTCAAATTCATATCTCCAAATTTGAGGGACCACCCCCACCCCCCAAAAAATGCTTTCAATAAGGGGGATTTATGTTTAGATCTTGCCATCATCATATTAAGCCACATCATTCTTTTCTCATCTTTAAAGTTTCGGTATATTCTCTTTTCCTCTGTCATGTGTGCACCAGCGCTTCAGCACTAATCGAGCCCCACTCATTTGAGCATTAACATTCAAGTTAAGGCATTACTCCCTTACGTGGTGAAAATAAACCTAAATGGTATGGAGCTGAGCAGTAGAATAGTGCACTTTACATGAGTTATTTACACATTGTAAAGTGTACAAAAGGAGTTATGTTCAAGGGGTACAATGTGGTTTTGTGTGGGGAAAAATATTGCACACGAGGACTGCGCTGAAATTCAAAACTGTTGGTGTCTTGTACATTTGAGTGTGCCTTACAAGAATCACCTCGTTATTCTTATTTATGGTTTTGACTTACAGGTTTCAAACGAGGAGCAGATCCAGGGATGCCTGAACCTACTTTCTTAAGGTAAGACGAATCGGTCTGAGAGGTGTGTAATAAAATAAAGCATCCTACTCCTAGATCCAAAGTCAAATAATACATCTGGGGTTTTTTTGGGGGGGGGGGTGAGCTCCTGACCAACAAGATTTATGTCCAGTCTCGTGAAGTAGGGTCATTGTAGGGATTATTCATGTACACTTAGACCATGTACATAAGGATGAAAATACATTATATGTCAAAACAGTTCATTCTTTAAGTAAAACTGCCCATTTAACAAAGTTGAATGATAGCTTGAAGAGAAAAGGATGTATGATGTCTTAATACCTGCCTTGGAGTATTGATGTGAGGCTATTTTTAGTCCTGTAAGAATCTCTTATCTTTTTTCTTTCTGTTTTTTTTTATTTCTTTTTTTAAAGAACCTATTGCATCATGTATGGCTTGTCTGTTATCTCAGTATAGATAAACAGGAAAAAAGGTAACCTATATTTACCAGAAACTGAGCTGCTTGTTGCTCCTCCTCCGCCTCCCCAGTCTCAACAGCCCGTTGCTAATATTTTTAATTTAAATTTTTTTTAATCTCTATATAATTTTTTAATTATATAGAGATTTGATTTTGTTTAAATATGAGGACAAACAAATAATTAAATATGAAATTATGACTTTAGTTAAGCTGTGGTCATTGTTTTCAATATTTTAGAAATTAACATGTACATTTAGTGTCTTTTTTAGCATGTATGACGATGCTGGTCAGGTACAGGGATGG